ACAGGCTCCTGATACAAACACTTTCCAACAAATTGTCATGATTGGTTTATAAAAACCTAATATAGTCCATCCAATTTCCACCAAAAAAAAAAAGAATTCTTGAAATTACTAATCAAATTAATAATGTCTAATTAAAAAAATATATATGCCTTCAAAAATGAATTCTTGAAATGACTTATCAATTAAATAAAGTCTCATTAAAAAATACAATTATGCCTTTTTAATGGAAAAATGAATAAATTACAAAAAATTGAAGAAATATTATTCTAGTCCAATTTCGTGCCTTTACCAGATAGTTTTGATTCTAAAAGTATCAATTTCAAATCAAGTTTAAAAAAAATAAACAACAGAATAGAATATCTTAAACACGGACAATTTTCTATTTTTCCTTTAATAAAACTAAAATGAAAATTCCTTTCTCTTGAATTTTCACCAAAAAAAAAAAAGAATTATTTTAACGATGATAACCTTTTTTTAAAATCAAAAAATTCTAAAAATACAGATATTCATCTAATAATAATCGTTAAAATAATTCATGTTCCAGCTCTCTACCAAATAACATCCACAAATTATCCTCCATTTCGTCCAAAATTATAACGTCCTCAACTCCCACGAGGTTAATAAAAAAAATTCCCAAATTGCTTCCACAAATAGAAAGAGAGCAAGAAAATGATGGTTAAATTGAAACCTCGGACTTCATTTTCCAGGCGACTGAGCTCGACGCGGAGGGGATCAGAGCCGTGAAGAAGAGTAACCAGCTCGTCAACTTCCCCGCCGGCTCTGGAAATGCTCGGCGCCGGAGTCGGTTTCTTCTTCGTCTTAAGCGAAGCCGACGGCGTCAGCTTCGGCGGCTCCGGCCAACTGACGTCGCCGTTACAATTATCAACACTGCAATTGCCGTTACTACTACTACTAATCATCTGAGCGCTTGACATTATCAAGCCGCAATTGCGTAATTTTTGAGCTTAATTATATCAATATTCAAAACCTAATTACAATTTGGGGAGAAATAATAGAATTTTAAGATTTTTCTTTTATCTGTGCGTGTTTTCGACGGTGTGCTGGTGTGTGTTTTCTGGAGAGATTTTTGAGAAGAGACGGGAGACAGTATGAGGGGGTTGGTTTATATAGTGAGCTGATAAAAAGGGGGTTTAGGCGGGGATTAAGTTTAAATTTATTTTAATGTCTAAATTAGTAGAGCTGTTATTGTCTGTGCAACGGTGCACGTGATACGGTGTGTCTGCGTTTTTTCTCCGTCCTTTCCCTTTTGGGAAGAAATGTTGGAAAATTTTTGGGAGAAATTTTTTGCCATGAGGAGGGAAAGAAGATACTATTATTCATCTTTTTGTGTTACTATATTTTTGGATGGTTAATGCTGCTTGGGAAAAGTTATAAATCAGACAATTTTAATGTTGATCACAAGATCGAAATTCAAAATATTTTTATTTTGATCGCAAAAAACATACTTTACGGACAATGTATACGTTGTAGTTTGACGTTAGATGTTGAACACAAAATCATGAAAATTATGACCCCAAAATTAATAAACTTGTTAACAACTCAGCACATTCATTGGTTGTTGTTGAGTGTATGTATCATCTGCTGCTGAGTTGCAAATGGCCTGGCCAAGGGGAGGATAAATGTGTACCCCAAGCATTCATTAAGTTGCTTTTCATAGTTATATAAACATTACACGTGTATTGGTGCAAATGCAGTTAAACATTTGGTGCAATTAGCAGTCATTGCCATACTTTCAAGATTTGGTTTACAAGTTGACGGAACAAAACTCAAACCCAACAAATAAACGATTTGTGAGATAAAATTCAAATCCAACATCATTTATATTTATATGTATGAACGCACTTATATATTGAATTTGTTATAAATGAATTTATGTATACAAATAAAATTTTCGCGTATAATTATATTGTACAAATGTACTTAAGATTATATGAGAAATACAATAACTGAATAATCGTACACATACTCTAGTCTCATTCAACATACATCGAACTGTCGAAGTTTAAGAAGACAATTTAAGCGGCAAATTTTTCATACATATGGTTTGGGACAGGATCTCCATCTTTGCATTTTAGTAACTAAATTCAACTTGTAAACAAAATTGAGAATGATATCACATCCACATTTGAGGTATTTGCAAAACAAAGAAGACAACTACTTACTTTTTTTTTTTAAGGCCACTAATCCACTATGCCAGAACACAACAAAAGAACATACGTAATATACATTTTTTCTAGTCAATCAAGAATTATTTACCTACCAAGACAAGTTTTGTAAACCAATTTATAAACCCTTGGAAATTCACTTTTCAAATAGACCCAAAAAAAAATTTGAATTCAAATTGAGCCTATTCCTTTTCTTCTTCACTTTTTTTTTTTCCCTTAAGAAGGGGTTGTGGGGATCTATTACTGTTTATTTTACATTTTCTTTTAGGACAGGGCTGGATGAGGAGAAGATTGGATCATAAATGCTCGGATATATAAAAATCTTTTGCATAACAAGACTTGATCAATTATTGTATTGCCAAATATTAAGAAAGAAAAACATTAGTTAGACGTCTTTTCTTTGTCTCCAATAATTTCCAAATATTGTACAACGGCAACATTCATTTTAGTCTCAATCCCAACGGTCACAATTTCAGCAACTAATGTGGTCCTTATGCATAAAAGCGTAAAGGGCTGTGTAACTTACCGTTGCAAAACCGCATAAACATCAACACGCTTTCTAGTTGTAGGGCTGCTTAAAAGGCAAAATAACACAAAAGTGAATTTGTCTTCCCCTTTAGAGATGTATGCATATCTGATCAAAACAATCCAAATTTCTCAAGACCCTTTTTCTTTTCCATCATGGACAACCCTTTTTTGAATTGCAATCAGTGTTCTTGCATTTTAATCAATTTTCAGTAACTATAGTTTCTAACTTAATCACAATTAGCTTGCACTAAGAAGAGATATTGAGCGATAAAATCAGGCCCCAGTTCACATAAATTGGTTTTGAAGCTTAATTAGTAACCCCATAACCCTTGATTTTGTCCAGAAATATGTATCATGAACCAGAAAAATACCCACTGCCACCAAAAAGTGAAAAAGAAAGTCTAGGAGTAGGGAGGGGACAACCAATTTTTCCTTTTATAGTCCCCACCTCATGAAACTACTTTTTCCAAGAATTATTGCAATGTGGCTGTCTAAAAGCATAAGATGCAGCAAATGAAGCAAAAACACTCTATTTGCTGGAAAATAGCTCATTAGCTACCGTAAGGTCATTCTCATGATCACATCTTCATATCCAGTATTAGTAAAAGACCATAACCACTAATTACCTTACCAAACAAAATGCAAGAAGGAAAAAAAAATAAAGAATTCATTACTGACTATTAACATCTAGTTTAATGACCTATTATCACCCCTGATTTCTTCTTTCAGGAATAATCTTGAAGGCTGGATTCTGATGGTGCATAATAAGAAACTTAACAGGATCTGAAGAGTTGAATAGCAGGAGAAATGGGGTATGCGGCAAGAGAAAGCAAAGAAGAAGACAAGTGCACATGGTAGTGGGGATGGGAGAAAGCGTGTGAGAGCACATGCGGTGCCTTGATAGACAAAGCGTGAACCTAACCCCAATTTGCCCAGTCACTGGGGTCCTTTGATTTATGCTCTCATCCACTTTAACCCCCCACCACACGGGCGCAAGATATACACAATGACAAACTTTGTAATTGTAGATTGTCAACGTGTTGTGAGTTGTGACCAAACAAGTAAAGATTTAAGCTCAGCCATTGTGTTGGAAACATTCAAATTTGAATCCTGGAATAACTAAAGCACAGTTGATAGGCGATTTTGTTTTTTTGGTATAATAAAGTTTGAGTGAGTTCAGTTTCAGTTGTAACCACGAGCCAATTGGCAGGCGATTGATAGAATTATTATAAGATGCCTAATGTGGCCGTAGCCATGCGTGAACCTTGAAATGGGGCAAGGCTCCTCTCGTTGTAGACATTTTTTCACCAAAAAAAAAAAAGAAAAAAAAACTCAGATTGCCAGAGTTCACTTACTCCTTGGTACATAAGTTGTCAGATTTCTTCATATTTTCAAAACATTTGATTGCTTTTAATTTTCAAAAGAAATAATTGATTGTAGAAAATAGCCATTCAACTTTGACCCGAAAAAATTAGCTATCAAGATTTCTTGAACAGTTCAATATAATTACGAGCAACATATACTCCCACATACACGTAACTCGTATCAGAAAAAAAACATTGCATGTTTTCTTCTACGATCAATGACAAATGTGAACGGATGGAAGACTGAGGCACCAAATCCTAAACAGTTTCACCAAATCCTAACCAGACTGAGGCACCAAAACCATTGCATGCTTTAGGCCTAGGGGTGTCAGTCATACTTTTTTTTTTTTTTTGGGTCAAAGCCCAGAGATGTCCTACTGTTCTACTACTCACATGTATCAATAATTGAAGTTTCACCATTGAAGACAATCCTAGGCAGTTCTATTGACAAAGCATTGTAGCTTCGGTGGGTGCCAATTTTATGCAAGTGGGACAAAATCTTTGGTAAAAAGACCTAAAAAGCTTCATTTGCTTCCTAAAGAGGGGAAAACTGCACCTGAACCATTACATCTAAAAAATCCGTGAACCCCTTGTCCCCACCTCAAATTCCATCCTCTACACCCAACGAATTAATATCATTAAGGATGGATGATACGGTAGAGGACCCATGTGCAAAAATCATATTTTTGATCCCAAACAAAATTATGTACAGGGATGAGATACTCTTACACTACTGCCTCTGACTCAAATCAGAAACTTAAAGACAAACTTCATATGAAGCATCCCAATAATTTTCTAGAGAATGTAGACATCAAAAGAAAGATCATGTTAATGCAGAAGTACGAAGTCACATATAAAGGGATGCTATTCTATCTATCAGAAGGAAACTAGAAGAAGAGCAGTATGACATACAATAGGGTAATCACAGCATAGATTGTACCATCTTCAATTAACAATATAAATGGTGTTGCATACTAGCAGAGGAGAGGTGCTTCTGTGATATGCGAATGTCATATTCTTTTCTCCAAAAACCCAACCCCGGACAGACACAGTTTTGTCCATGAGAGTGACTTCACAGAGACAGATTACAGATAAAAGATGAACAGAAAACTGTTCATTCCTACCATAAGGAACCAACAAAGAGGATAAATAACACAGGATGAACAGAATAGTTTGCATCAACCAATTTTTTCCTGAAAAATGAAAGAAGGCACTGTGACTACCAAAATTTCAAAAGAAGCACCCCTAGTTTTACTTGCATATGGTGGATAAACCTACGAAGGAGCCTTTACATGTAACATGTCCAACCTCCAAGTCATACTTTACATAGTGAAGTCCCAAAGCTACAACAGTTATTTCCCTCGGCGTGAGATTAAAATTCAGTCAAAACTTTTTCTGCCAAAAGTGTTCCAAAGGATGTACTTCAGGGTAGCTCCCAAAATCATTGGTAAAGGTTCAAGTGAAGGAAAGTATTTTTTACCTTCTTTTTCTGTTTCTTAGTGTTTCTTTTGTAGAATTTTTAGTTCCAAGTCTTTCCTTCCCGTACAAATCACAAAACACCATAGGATGATGGATGGAAAACTTATCCAAGACACTTGCCATTGCTATAATTTTCAATGCGATACCGGATTCTTCGCCAGTGCAGCCTCACGTTCCCGACGCCGGCATTCTCTCTGATAAAAATTCAGTCTCAGCAATCAAAATAGAAAGGTTTTAACATATTGTTTCTTGTAAGAGTACTTTACATGCATCAGAGAGGAGAATTATATAAAAATATCTGACCATAAAACTCAGTGCTTAAACAGAAGGTTCTGCAAAGGCAAACACAAGATGAAATGCTTGTCTAAAACTCTGTTGCACTTGAAATCTCTCAAGTCTGACAATTTTACAATTTATTCCTTATTCCTTTCTTGAAAAGCTGTAAAAAATTTGAAGAAGATGGTGACTGTAACCTTGAAGAGGATACAGCAGTAACTATCACAGTATATCACAGTAAAGATAAACAATATGAGCAGACAATTCACACCATAAAATCCAGATGCCATCAAGAAGAGGTACAAAAAATCTAGAATTACTGCAAAGCTCTTCAGATTATGTCAAGCAGCTACCTATAATTCTTCTCCTTCACTAATACCACTCATCCTTGCTTCTCTTTATCCTTTTTTTTTTTTTTTGCTCTTTTTCAATACAAACTGGACATCTGTTCCCTATGCAACTATCTCAACTTCGCTTCCCTTCTCATATCTAACCTTGTATCACATTTTACACCATTGAGTTCCAATAATTCAGTCAAAACTCTGCTCAGCTCACAAGAACCTTATCGTACTTGGAAATTTTAAATTTCATTTCTTTCCCTCAAAAATTGATCAAACCTACATCATTTTCATGTGCCAACAAAAGTCTTTGATAATAACTTAACCAGAAAAAAAGGAAAATGCACCACTCCAAACCACATTAAAGCATCAATACACAAGTCTTATAATTACTCTAATCATTTGACAATTTCCCAATGGGAAAAATGCACTTTTCATCCTCAAAGTTTGAGTTGTTGACCAATTTCATCCTCAAAGTTTCACCCAAAGCACATTTCATCCTCAAAGTTCCGTAATTTTGGCTAATTAAGGACAATTGATGGGAATTGGCAAATTTATCATTAGAACCAACGGTTTTACCCAACAAAAAATGGGTAAAATCGAATGGAGCCATTTTTAACGGAACAATAATTTGCAACGGACGAAAAGCTCCATTCTTCTCCTTCTTCCCTCTGCCTTTCTGCAACCCCAAAATTTTTTTGTCAATCTCTGGATCTTTAAACCTTTCATCCTTAGAGCATATGCTAGTGGTTTTAAAGTCTCATTTTTGCCTAATAAGGAGCAGAAGTTCTGAAGTCTCCAATGGTTCATCAACTCCATTCTGCAACTGTGGATTGAGAACAAAAATGAGCACCTGTTGGCGCGATGAGAATCTGGGAAGAAGATTCCTTGTAAAGAGCAATTGGAGACTTCATTTTTGTTCTCAACCCACAGTTGCAGAATGGAGTTGATGAACCACTGGAAATTTCAGAACTTTTGCTCCTTATTAGGCAAAAATGAGACTTCAGAACCACTGACAGATGCTCTGAGGATGAAAGGTTTAAAGATCCAGAGATTGGCAAAAAAATTTTGGGGTTGCAAAAAGGCAGAGAGAAGAAGGAGAAGAATGGAGCTTTTGGTCCGTTGCAAATTATTGTTCCGTTAAAAAATGGCTCCATTTGATTTTACCCATTTTTTGTTGGGTAAAACCGTTAGTTCTAACAATAAATTTGCCAATTCCCGTCAATTGTCCTTAATTAGTCAAAATTACGGAACTTTGAGGATGAAATGTGCTTTGGGTGAAACTTTGAGAATGAAATTGGTCAACAACCCAAACTTTGAGGATGAAAAATGCATTTTTCCCATTTCCCAATTAAAAAACAAAACAGAAGCAGCAAAAAAATCCATTGTTTCTATAAAATAAAAAAGAACAAAATTACCCTGCGTTCCCAGTAGGGATGGAAGCAGACGAAATCGTAGACTGGTTCAATTGTTGAGACCAAAATGGCATTGAGTCCGGTAAACACCAATAATGCTGTCATCGGCCGAGTTCGATTAGGCATTTTCTCTCTCTTCTCCTTAATTCATCCAAAAAAAATAAAGGCCTTTTCTTTTCCTTTTTCCAATTTCTGTGAAAAAAATTAGAACTATTTACTTATACAGTTCAATAATTATAAAAATTTAATAATAAAAAAAGGCAAGATATTCATGCAAAAGTAAATGAGCTGGAAGAAACTGATCAAGAGCTAAAACCAGCTAAAACTAATGCAGTTTGTTTAGTTCATAGAATAATAACCAATGGAGATTAAAGAATTAAAGTTACCTGGATAGGCAGACGGCCGCCGGTGAATTTCTGACCGGCAATAGTAGCGAGCTTGCTTACTTTGCCGGTCAGGGTTTTGGTGGGGCATGGGGAACCAGAAAATGTGACGTTGAACGGTTTAACTTCAATTATCCTTATTTCAGCTTATAAGTTTAAATTGTACAAGAAGCCCTTACATTTGAGAATTATCTGTTTCTACTTTTTGGTACTCAATATATATAAACTGATACATTTTTATTTTGAACCCCAATAAATTCAAAATATAGCAAATTATTCTCAATTTGAAGTCACAAACCCATTCATGATTGGCTGTTTAAGCGAGTATAATCAAATTGAATATCCTAGTTTTCAAGCTCATTAATTATTCTATCAAGTTTAAAATTGTGTACAAACTTGATTTGTTAATCTATTTAGTTGAACTCAAACAAACTTTTATTGAATCAAACTTGAGTCGAACACTCAAGTATTTTGAATTTTATAATTATAAATTTCATTTTATGCTAATTGGGCTAAGTTCGAGCCGAATTTAAAATTTTGACAAATATGAAATGCTATTTAAGTTTAGTTTGATTAGATGACAAACTATATTCAAAAGAACTCTTACCTAACCGAGTTTGATTGGAATTTTAAGCAGTTTAATTTGTCTTTCAATCCTACACATGCTGATAGATTAAGCAACAAGAATGCAGGTATATATATAATTTTTCTAAAGTAAAAATGATTGCGTACTATGTATTCACATATTAGCTGCAATCTCCTCTTCAACTTTTCAAAAAGGTCATTTGACATACATATTGTTGGAAAGTTAGTTTATAGTGTGAAAAGTGTTCAATGATGAGTTAAGACATCATGATTTGTGCCCTGAATTTTCAATTCCATAACTTATTATTTGTGTCATGACTTTTCAATTGCATAACTCATAAAACTCTCAAATATTCAAGTGTGGATCATACAAAACTAGTTACAAACTTGCGAAAATACTAGGAGATGCTCAAGACTTTATCACTGTAGAACTAAACGCACCCAAGAAAAGAACTGCAGGACAAGTGTGCTAGTTAGTGTCAAAATTGAACCGTTATTACCAGGCTCAATAGTTGAAATATGAAAGCCAGAGATAGAGCTATAATTTTCACATCAAAAACCTATTCACAGCATTCTAAGTGCTTGAAAATAAATACCTTTATAAATACCACAGATACAAGGAAGACTGGAGTGACGATCTTCAGCCTTTAAGCATGTCTAACTTCGTCAGCCCGCAACTTTGCTATCAAGAAGAATGCACCGACTTTACTTAAATGCAGGACAAGGTTAAACAAGCCTTCCTGTAACATATTAGGAACAATCAAACACATTTAAATGTACGATATGAGAGAGTGTGTGAGAATTTATGACAGCATTAAATAGTCCAAAACACACATTCATCACATTCCATGTCCATTGACGAGAAGTTAGCAGCCTTGAGACGATACATAAAAGATTTTTCAGGCCCTGACCCGACAGCAAGTTTTTCCTTTAAGAAAAGAAACAACAAGACAACAAGATAAAGTGCTCTATAAATTGAAGACAAACAACCATTGTAAAGCACAAGTGCAGGCAAGCTTCAGCTAAACATGTCTTTGGTCTTTGTCAGGCAATACAGGAAGTTCAAACAAGGTTTAGAAAGCTTTTGTTTTAAGCAATGAACAGATATGAATTATAAAACTTCACCCTAGAATTCTTCAAATTATCTAAAAGACTCCTAGTAGGATGAATTGTTGCTAAGGTAAATGACTATATGATTAATCATACAGAGAAGGCAGGGGAATAAACGTATATATTTTGAAAGTTTTGTCAAATAAATTTGTTGCATATGACCTGCAGAGATTGAGCCCCGGAGATCCTGAACTGCCCTGTTGTTCAAGATGGCATCCCAAACATCTGCGGGCAACAAGTTATAGAATTGGTTTCGTTGTCAACCAAACCAAACCCCCCCTCTCTTCCCTTCCCTTCTTGGCTAATCATAATTTTCTTTTTTTTTTTGAAGCAAAAAAATAATTATGTGCTAGAAAGATGCTGGAAAGATTAAGAGATTATTCTGATAGTAGATTATTTTGATGTTGGAAAAATTAAGAAACAACTCTTACCAACTTGGCTTGTAATTTCCTTAATATGATGGGTGTTTAGCGCGAACCACTGGTACTCTATTCGAGGTTGCCATGTGTTAGTACATCTTTAGGCTCAAAGTTCCGCACAGGCCATTTCGATTCGGGGCAATAGTAGCGGCAAAATCTCAGAGACCAAAAGGTGTTCCTCTACTGTTGGAAGTCAACTTTGCATTCGCATTATCCCTCCTGGGTGTCTCACAAGCCCTAAATGTGTCTGAAATTTGGGGTGGACGAGTGGCGAGAGTGGCGAAGGATGGAGGAAGTGGCCAGAGAAATGGAAGGCAGGGGGGAGACGGTGGTGGGCAAGGTAAGATACTAGGGTTGCAGGTGGAAGTGACGGTGGAGAGCATAGCACTAGCGGCTGAGGAAAAATGGTGAGTTAGACAGGAAGAAAGGGGTGCCAATATCCTTGACCCCATTTTAATTTTTGACCCATACTAGATCCGCGCGAGAACCCGTTTAGTTGTGGAATTGGAATTGAAATTCTTTTGGTTGGATAAAGAATTCAATTCATAGAATTGGACTCTTATAGAATTCAGATTCAATTCTAAGGGGTTGCTTGTTTCACAGATTGGAATCGGAAATGGAAATGGAATCATGGACTCTGGTTTTGGAATTAAACTTTTCATTCCAATATCTAACTTGGTTCACACATTAGAATTAGCATCATTCCAATTCCTGATGCTTGGTTTGATGAGTGTTTCAGAATTAAATGCAATTAAATTCCAAATTTACCCCTGATATAACAATTCTTATAAAATAAAAGAATTACACATACGACAAATTAACATCTCCATAATTGTAACTACAATAGTTATTAACTTTTTGATAAAACATAAGAAAATCATAAATTTTTAAAAAATTAATACCAAAAAATAAATGTAGTGGCTGCATTAACAAGGAGTAAATTCCCAAAAAGAGGGAGTTTTTAAACTAACTTCCCAAAGGGTGGCGATTTTTTATTCTCTTCCCAAAGGGTGAAAAATGCATCCAAGGAATGCGTTCTTCCAAATAAAAACACAACTTTCAAATACGTTATTTTAATTTTCATAAATTTATTTAAATATGAAAATTTGGTTAAATAACACATAACATACCAGCTCTTTATGGAAAACTGGCAAGGTTTTTAGTATATTTTGTACCAACTCTTTATGGAAAATATACCAACTTTTTATAGGAAAAATTGGTTAAATAACGGCCAAAGGAAAACTAATATGTTTTATATTTATAAATTAAATATGTGAAAGTCAAAAAAAAAAAAAAAAAGATAGCTCATAAGATACCAGCTCTTTATGGAAAACTCGCAGATTTTGTATTTAATGCCCATAACTATGAAACTGAAAGGTATTCAGACAAACAATTTTACAAATAGGTACAAGGCAACCAGAAGCCCACCCAAACTATACCAGTATTCACGGATTAAATAACCAAAATATCAAAAATCGATTGACCCTTTGTTTCTGAGCTTCCATTGAATGCGTAATTCAAGAAAACACAGTGAGTAGCGTGAGTGGAATAAAAGTGAGAAGGTGATGGGTCTAGAGCATAGCATTTTGGTCCAGTTAGTGTTATTGTGTCGAATTCCCTTCTTTTCTTTTTTATTTTTAGCTAACCAGTGAGTAGCCTGAAAAAACAGAGAAGAAGGAAGAGAAAAGCTTGCATACGGAGAAGAAAATTGCAGAGAAAATTGTAGAGGCAACGGAGAAGAAAATTGCAGAGGCAACGGAGAAGAAATTTTGGATAAGACATGAAGAAGAAGAGAGAGAAAATCTGATGAAGAAGAAGAACAGAAGGTGCTGCGTGTGATGGAGAGAAAGAGAGGGTAGGCCTATCATAAATATTGTCTGAGGGAATCAGTTGAGGGTTTTGTCCAAAACCTCCCAATTTGCTCGGAAATTAAGGAAGTCCGATTTTTTAGAAATGATTCCAAAATTTGCATTCCAATAGACTTAACCCAAGCAACAAATAAGGGATTCATTCCTTTCTGTGATTCCCAAACCCTCTAACCAAGCAGCCCCTAATTCTTTGAGGGAAGCAAAATCCAAACAATGGAATTGGAATTATGATCCCAATTCCAATTCTAAATCCCAATTTTATAGGGAACCAAACATACCGTAAAGGTTGAGTTTGCCAAAAAAAAAAAAAAGGAATTCATCTTTTTTTTTTTAAGAAAATAAGTTTAAATTGCTATAGGCTAGTTTCTTGTTTTCCATTATAACCTAGAGGATAATTTGCTACTTCAATCTGATTAGCAAGTTAGTGGGCAAACAACACCTTAAGGAGAGTGATCACAAGCGTTAAAAACTCTTTTGAATCTCTCATTGTTAGTTCAGCCAAGTTCATAAAACTACTTTTATAATAGTTTTGTTGTAGGTTCCATATTCTTGTAACCTAATTCATCAACTGTCGCGCCCCATTTTTTGCGATGGAAAAATAAAAATAAAGGGTATTCATAAAAGATGTGAAATTAAGTAAAAAAGGATCTAAAATGGGACTTTAAAAAATGCGACAATTTGGGTCCAAAAATTTAGTCTAAAAAGGGTTTTTAAGAAAAAGAGGAGTCACCACTTGGTATTGAGTTTGGATGTACCAAGTCACCCCTAAAATATTTTTGACTCAAATAAAATAAAATAAAACCCTTTTTGACAACTCCAGGTCTTCGAAAAACAAGAGAAAAATTGGTCCGGGAGTCACGGTTGAAGAAAGGGAAGGCAAAGGTTCGATTAACTCAAAGCTAAGGCACCCTTTCAACCTAGTCTAAGCTAGTTGCGAGATTTAGTCAAAATTTTCCTAATCTAACCCTTAATTTTATCACATTTGGATGTTTCCTACATTGATGCAAATCTAAATTTATAAAATTATCGAAATGGACAAAATGTTCATTCAAGGGTTTAATTGAACCAATCGCATTAATTGCGAAAGCCAAAATAATTCCTTGAAGGGATCACGAGCATGCAAATGATGAAATTAAAAAGTAAAGAAAAGAAATTAAATTATATACATAGATATAAGTGATCAAAGAAAAGGGAATGCAACATAAAGGGTACGGGAGGCAAAAACTCGTGACATAATTTTCTTATACAGGGATTAATGGGATATTTAAACTAAAAAGTTATAATCACTCATTTCCCATGTTTGAAAAATAATTATCCTAACATGAGCAAGCAAATAAACTAGCTTAAATGAGATGCAATTCTAAATGACATGATTAGCACCTATAGCGGGTAGGGGATAATATAATAGGAAATATCATACAAATGAGAAAAGATCCTAAAAATGAAAAATATGCATGAGAATGTAGTGAATAGCACGCAAAGATGAATCTAGCGCAAGACGACCTAAAGGGTCTAGCGTTAGACTAGCCCATTTCTAAAAATCCTTACTAGCGTTGGACTAGCAAGTAAGCGGAGGGATAAGCCACAACTAGGGTTGGACTAGTGTGATGACGTCATGCATTAACAATTCATATTGAAACAAATAAAACATAAATTAAAACAAATAAACACATAAGAGCACGTTGCACATAACACGTAAACATAATATCTAGATGCTAAAATCCTAAGAAAAGCGGATAAAACACATAACATGTAAGCCACATAAACACGCAACCTATCTATTACATCGGGGAATCTAACTACAATCTAAAATGGGAAAGATATGATAAAATAAAATTAGTTATCATATCTATTACATTTTTGAGGTATTTAAATGCCTCTCGAATAATTATAAAAATTAACTAAACAAATATAATATAAGAAAATTTAAATGAACATTTAAATCCAATAAATAAAGCATATAAAAATATATAAACACATAAGAACACATAGGAGCACATAAGAGCACGTAATTGACATTGAAATAATAAAAATAGGAGTACCTCCCGTTTGGAGTGGTGACTAAATGAAGTCAAATTGTCCTATTTATACTCACAATGAACAAAAGAATCAGGGCACCAATTTAATTAAAAAATAATAATAATAAAAGTACTAAATCCACACTAATATGTCAAACGCAAAGAAATTTAAGAAAACCTAAAAATTACAAGTTAAGTATATTCAAAAGTAGCAGAATTATCTATTAAAGAAAAGAAACAATCATAATAAAGAGAGTCAAAATTCATCAAGGACTGAATTGCAAAAATCGAAAAACTTTTGGGGACAAAAATTATATTTTTCCAAAGTTCAGAGGTCAAAATTAAATGAAAGATAAAATTCAGGGACCAAAATACAATTAAATTAAGGACCTAAGTGAAAGAGATTTAAAATATTCTGGGCCGTAATATAAAATACTCCAAAGATCAGGGGCTAAGGTGCAAATTTCGGTTTCTGCCTTGGGTAAGAAAGGCCATCAGGCCATCAATTTTATTTATTTGGGCCGATATTACCTAAGCCCAACCGAAACCCAAAGGAAACGAGCAGGCTAACCCGTCTGTTATCACTCCAACCCAACCAAAAAAAACGTGGGCTCCGACCTCCTAACCCAACCGAAACCTCAAAAAAAAACAAAGGTCCATTCCCCAAACCCAACCAAAACAACAACAAGCCCACCTAAAAAATAAAACACTAGCCCAAACCCCCTTTTTTCTTTCTTTTCTTTTCTTTCTTTTTCCTTCTCCTCCCCATCCGTTTCGTTTCCTTCTCCTGTCATCCGAAGCTTATTTCAGTTGGCGGCCATGGTGGCCGCCGGTGACGCCGCCGCCGGCGACCTCTCCGGTTACCAAAATTTCTCAAAATACACCTCCCCACTCCATTTTTCGCGTAGATTTCATTTCCGGATTTAGTTTTAACAAAAATTGACCCTAAAGTGGCCAAAAAGCCAAGAAATCAGTCCAGTTTTTATTTTCTTAAAACCTTTAAACCTCCACCAAAAATCATAAAAATTATATTACAATACTCCTTATAATCTCTACATTACAACTATAATCTTAGCTAACCAGAAAACAACAACAAAAAACTACATTAAGGCAAAACAGTCCCTAAAATTCGTTCTTTTTTTCATTTTGGCATTTTCACAAACACTTGACATGCATTCATGGGCCCGTTTCATTTTTCTTAATTTCATACATGGCTTACCCCAAAACTTCAACAACACCACATAACAACAACATCAGTAAAAGAAAGAGACAAATAGATAGCAAAACATGAATTTAATCTAATTAGTTAATAAAATGAAAAGCTGGAAAAAAGAAGAAAAATAATACCTCAATGAGGAGTTTGGTCCCTTGGCCAAAGTTTTTGATGAAATTTGCCAAGCTCCAAATAGCCTAACCGATCGCTGCTTCCTTTTTTTGTTTTAAGTTGTGTGTGAGTGTGTTGGGAGAAAAAAAGAAAAAGGAGCCGAGAGAGGGAGTGTTTTTGTTTCTTTTTTTGGGTCTTTTCTGTTGGTCCCCCCAGAGAGCAGAGAACCGAGAGGGACTTGTAGCCAAAAAATGGAGCTTGTGTGTTTTTTTTTTTTCCAAGCCCAAAGGACTTTTGATATTTGGACAAACCTAATTCCCGTAAAAGCCCACAAAAGCCGTCAACTCCTTGAGGGTCTCACAGGAGACTTATCTACTCTACCCCAACTCCTCCGAACCCCGATGTGGGATATCAACCTCCACAAGGGAGCCTGCTAGACCTAAAGAGACCACATACTCCCCCGAGACAAGGCTAATGTCTTTTTTCCAAGCCCAAAGGACTTTTGATATATGGACAAACCTAATTCCCGTGAAAACCACAAAAGCCGGCAACTCTTGAGGGTCTCACAGGAGCTTGTGTGTTGGATTTGCCAAAATGATGATTTTTACCAAATGACAAGAAAGATCAAGAAAGTTGAGTGTAGGAATGGGTTAAGTGTTTTTTGGTAGGGAAAATGATTAGGAGAAAATTTTTTGATTTTCTTTTCTTCTTTTTTTTGTTTTTGTTTTTGTTTTTGTTTTTGTTTTTGTTTTTGTTTTTGTTTTTTCCTAAAACAAACCTGCAAAAATGAGAAAGAATGCACATTAAAATGTAAGAAAATAAATAACTCATTAAATATAAAAATTCAGGAAAACATTAAAAATTGACAAAAATTTGATGTCTACATCAACTTTTCAACACATGCCTTTTTCCATGGAATAAGGTTTTTTTTTCTATTTTTATACCTCACTTTATTAGCACAAAATCAGTAATTGACATCTTTTAGGTCAAAGAATAACTGATAATGAATTATTGGACAAAAAATTATTGTTGTCAAAATAATTGGGACTAAAATACATTGCTTTAATTTAAGGCACTAATAATGTTTGACTTACAAAAGAGTTTGGACCATTTGTGCACTTTGCCACCCAACTTTTTAATAGCACTTGAGTTTAATACGAGCATAGAAAAAAAAAAAATTTTTTTTTTGAGTAGCGGAAGAAGTATGATTTACTTCCATATCATTTCATTGCTTACCAATTTGGTTCCATCAATTTTCATGAAAATGAATTAATCGTCCATGTTATTCAATTTTCAATTGTTTAATGGAGGACAAATAGAAACTGGCCAAATTTTATTGTCAAACATCCCATCTTATTATTTGTCAAGGTTATATGAATAAGGGACCAGAATTCGTATACTGAAACTTGCTCAAAATTAGAGATACTTTTCAAATGAAAGAGAACTAATCTGGTAATTTTCTTATAAAATTGATAAAACTTCAATTGATCCCCAAGAAAACCATGCTATACATTCTTTTGATTGCAAAAGGACACCATGGTCAACTAAGCAAAGGAAGACTTGAATTCTTTTCATAGTTTCATGCTCCCAAATGTGAAGATCACTCTTGCTTCAAGCATCCACCCCAAAGAAAAAAAAAAAAGATACAAGAAGCACAACTAGCTTGCACATCTGCAAAACCAACCAAACAAACAAAAATGGCAAGGAATAGGGTGGAAGAGTGGGAATGGTGGAAAACAGAAGCCAGAATAAATTTATTCAAATCATTTTGGTTTCTGTACATATTTTATGGCTAAAACCTAGGTGTGTCTTTTCTGTCATCCATCTTATTATTTGTCAAGGTTATATGAATAAGGGACCAGAATTCGTATACTGAAACTTGCTCAAAATTAGAGATACTTTTCAAATGAAAGAGAACTAATCTGGTAATTTTCTTATAAAATTGATAAAACTTCAATTGATCCCCAAGAAAACCATGCTATACATTCTTTTGATTGCAAAAGGACACCATGGTCAACTAAGCAAAGGAAGACTTGAATTCTTTTCATAGTTTCATGCTCCCAAATGTGAAGATCACTCTTGCTTCAAGCATCCACCCCAAAGAAAAAAAAAAAAGATACAAGAAGCACAACTAGCTTGCACATCTGCAAAACCAACCAAACAAACAAAAATGGCAAGGAATAGGGTGGAAGAGTGGGAATGGTGGAAAACAGAAGCCAGAATAAATTTATTCAAATCATTTTGGTTTCTGTACATATTTTATGGCTAAAACCTAGGTGTGTCTTTTCTGTCATCCATCTTATTATTTGTCAAGGTTATATGAATAAGGGACCAGAATTCGTATACTGAAACTTGCTCAAAATTAGAGATACTTTTCAAATGAAAGAGAACTAATCTGGTAATTTTCTTATAAAATTGATAAAACTTCAATTGATCCCCAAGAAAACCATGCTATACATTCTTTTGATTGCAAAAGGACACCATGGTCAACTAAGCAAAGGAAGACTTGAATTCTTTTCATAGTTTCATGCTCCCAAATGTGAAGATCACTCTTGCTTCAAGCATCCACCCCAAAGAAAAAAAAAAAAGATACAAGAAGCACAACTAGCTTGCACATCTGCAAAACCAACCAAACAAACAAAAATGGCAAGGAATAGGGTGGAAGAGTGGGAATGGTGGAAAACAGAAGCCAGAATAAATTTATTCAAATCATTTTGGTTTCTGTACATATTTTATGGCTAAAACCTAGGTGTGTCTTTTCTGTCATACTCCTAATAAATATGAACATATATTATTATATGTGTTTGGAAGCAGAAAAACCAGCAGCATACAGCCTACCATGAAAAGTAAATACTATTGTACAACAGCAGATTAGCAGGAAAACTTTACATCAAGCAGAACACAAATAACACCTAATGGCTTGGGTTGGTTGCCTGCAATGGTTGCTCCAGCTTTCCCTCGAGCAACATCAAGTAATAGGCCTTTTAGTACATGCAGTTGATGACAGTATTAGTGAGATGCAAGAAGCAGAGCTTCACTCATCCCTCTCGTGGCCTGGCCAGCCAAAGGGAACTCAGGGCTCGAAGACGCGAGAAATAGTCACTTATTGTCAGAAGGGCACGAGCCGACTGTCTTGTGGTCAGTATACGGTGCATCTGTTGGAGTGTCTGCTGTCGCAAGTTGTCTGCCTGTTACATGCCAGAACGACAATTTCAGCAAAAAATTTTACCATCTTAGCAAACTAGACTGCAGGTTTTCAACTATTGCCAACATTTAGTTTTCAAACATGCATTGATCAGTATCGATAACCCTGCATATGACCTAATTATCGCGCTTAAGTTTAAAAAATGTAACAGAAGTTTGTCAACTACCACTAATTTCATATTTGATGGATTTAGGTGTGTACTAAGACAACGTTATAGAGTCCCAGTTATGCACTTCCTTTAGCTTACATCAATATTTACAGAACTTTTTCCTTGGAAGTCTAACAATTGCACAAATCAAACTAGACCAGGCACCATCTACTTCAATATGACTAATGTCAAACGAAAAGCATCAAGCAAGCAGATACATTGTTACTAAAGAATATATCAAGTTTCCACATATTTTTGTTGATCATCTCCTACAGAAGCAGTGTGTAAGGATCAGAGGAACAATTCTAACATTCTACCTCATCCAAGTTGTAGCATTTATGGTTTTTGAAGCAGTCATCAGGATACTGAATTGTACAAGTAAGAAGTCAAACTACAATACCTGGCGGAGGAAACCTTCAAGAGTTCCTAGTTTTCCCATTGCCATGGCCATTTGACCCATGTAGTTTGCTACGTTTCCAGATGCACCTTCAGGGCCAGAAGCACCATTTGCTAATGTCTCAGCCAGAGACTGTTGCAGGGCCTCCATGCCCTGTGAAAGAGCATCTTCTGCCTGATGTGATGATTCCTGCAAGTTGTATATACCAGCCATCTGTTGCTCAGTCAGAGGCTCCAAATGATGCTCAAGGAGCTGCATTGCCATCCATGCCAGTTAGACAATATGAATAAGATATAAAGAGCACTACAGATGTCATAGTGCCAAAGTACATCAATGACTTCAAAACAAAAATTTGCAGATCGACCTGTCATGTCTCAGAAGCTAGGTGAAGATATTTCAGAATCAAAAGAAGGAAATCCCTCAAATTTTCAAGCACTTGGCCAACTTAGAGCACGTAGCCGACAAATTAACAAGCACTCAAAGCTTCCCTCACAGTCCATTAACAATATATTCTACTAAATCCTAATCCAGCTCATTTATAAGCAAAATACTGCCACCCTTTTACAGAAGCATCCAGGTATCAAGCAACTCGGTAAAAAGTACATCAACATGAACTTTAATGCTCACAATATAGTATCATCGAAAAACAGAAATGTATCAGCTGCTAGAGAGTAAAACAAGACCGTCGAAGTAAAAATCCCAATGGAACACAAGTTAGTACTACAATAAATAAACTCACTTCATCAATGCTTCAAGTAATCAACCAGACAGGAAATGATGACAAATGAAACCAGGAGAGTTATAAAGCATGCAGGAAAAAGGCAAACTACCCTGCGTTACATTCCTTCCTAACATCAGGACTGCAGAAGTTTCATGTACAAATATTAACATTAAACCATGTAAAGCCCAGAAACCAGACATTTTAGAATCGAACATAAATTTACTTTTGCACATTCAGCACTCTGTTTTTCCCAAAGGGCTTAACTACATAAGGAGGAGACCGCTCATTCATATGATAACATGCTGCTTAGGACTACATTTCTTCTTGAAGAAAATATTGCAAAGTTGAGAATAAACACAGTTTACTAATCTTCAGATCATTATTAGAAAAAAAAATCAAATTGTGAGTACATTCAGAACTGTCACATAGCATACAAGAGTTATGATGTAGGTTCGAGTCGAGGGAGACACATTTCTTATGAACACAGCATACATCATGAGCTTGCTAGATCTTAAATATGAATGGTTCTCTCTCCATTCTCTCATATTCTTGTAGTGACCAATTTCTACAAGCCACCAATAATATCTACCAATAATATCTAATGCCAGCACTCTTTCAAATAAAACTTAATGTAAGGATATGGAGAAAAAATTAATTACAGTATGAACACACACCTTTAGAAGTTCAGATGGGCGGAATCCACCAATCCACATAAAACACCTTTCTGCAGGTGTTTTCCACATACCCGATAAGATGTGGAAGACATCAGCCTTCGCAGCTGTACCTTTCACCCTGAAAATATCATTGTAGTGTGCAGTGACATTGTCAACAATTACACGCAAATCAGCATCACCGGCATGTGCATTTACTGCTGTCCTAAGCTCATTAATATGCCTATTATGTTCTTCCAACCAACGAGCGTAGTCTACATCAAACGCCATGGCCCCTGAATTTGCAAGGATCATTCTTTCAGGTAAAATTGGCCATAAAAAAAAATCTGAGAGATAGAGAAGTCCACATGCAAGGTAATACAAAGAGCCTTTCATAGACCAATTGCAGAAGCCTTGTGATTCACTATTGCTTAGCTCACCCACCTTAGACAAACCCATATAAAGATTTTAGTTCTTGAAGCAGAGCACCAAATAGTTGTTAAATTCCCAATCCTGGGTTGAGATCCCACAATTCTGGGATTCAAATTTACAAATTCAATCCCAACCCTATTAGGATCCTAAAGTTTGTAAAATTTATACAAAATTTTGTTCAAGTACATATTATATAAACTAAGAGCTGTCTTAAAATTTTGGAATTTAGAGTCTTGCATTTAACAAATTTCGATCAATGGTATTTATTTTTTCAAATGTTTAGCCAAAAAAATAAAGTAAATACTGGGCGACTTGAACTTTGATCTATTGATGCTAGAAATTATACATTATAGTTGAATAACATAATATTTTTAGCTCATATCACATTTTCTACATCTATTTTGCATACATTTTCATGAACAATAAGTTTATAAATAAATAAAATGTTGATTTTTGCATTTTTCAGTAGGATCTTAATCGTAAGATCCTACCTATGACTTCCAAAATGACACAAGATAGGATCCCAATTTTTAAAAACCTTGAGCCCAAATCCACTAAAACAAACACCTCTTTTGAGCCCAAATCCACTAAACAAACACCTCCTTTGAGAACATAATTGAGATGCGACTCTTATTTTTACTTGAAATTCACGTGACTGCAGTGAGATAATTTTTCCCTCCCAATGAGAAGGAAATCAGATGGAGCAGTAAAAGACGATATCCAGAAATTCCTGGCTCTTTCAAATAATCCATTTTTCCTTTGGTGAAAACATCATAAGGCAAGGATATTTGTATACAAGACAGATAAAAGTACCCAAAAAAAAAAAACCAAAAGAAAAAGCGACGAACTTTTGGAAGGGAAATTTATTGTCCACAATTGATTGGTCAAAGGATTGAAAGCAGCATCAATGATGTGCAACGGACCAGTTTATTGTTATTAATTTTTTTTATGTAAACTCCAACTTAAATTTCAGTGATATAATTCCCAGATGAACGAACAAATCTTCTATTTATTCACATCTGTGATATCTCTAGATGAGACATAAGTTGAATAAATAATCTAATCTCCAAATTTAGTAAAGAGAAAGCAAATAAGTAAAGATTTCTACTGTACTTCCACATTTCTTATTGAAGGTAACTAAGAGCATGCTAGGCAAGGAACTCCATTTAGGAAATTCTTTCCCTGCTCAATACATGGAAGAGCTTGTATATGATAGAGACCACTTGTCTTGACAAACTCAACTGATCATAATTACTAGTTCCTATGACACATTAGCCTCCCAACTCGGATAGATTCCTTCACCATAACTTGCAAAACTGGAGTCTTTTTCATTAAAAATTGTAAATCAGAATATCAGATTTAGATTGTTAGCTAATCCAAAAATTGTAGAATACTTTAAATGGCTCGGTTATCTTTAAATAAAAATCTGAATGGAACACAAATAGTTTGATCAAAATCCAGTAGGATACCAGATTTTTATGTTCACTTTATGTACTAATTACTAACCATCTAAAACAGGGTGAACATTGTAACTCCAAACGAATTGATCAGGTTTCAATTGTATTAATTATTAATAGTTCGTTTTCTGCAGTATTTACTCATAAAATCATGTATGGTCCTTCCAATTGTATTATACCGACATAGAACAAAATAATCTCTGCATGCAGGCTCTTGTCTTCTTTATGGACTTAGAATCATCATCATACATAAAAAAGAAATCCTTCCATCTAATTTGTCCAACTGCAGTAGAGACCACAAGATCATCCACAAAATTCACATTCTAAAGTAACACCTAAGACTGAGTACCACATCAAGATTCCTGGACACAATAACACCTAAAGCTCGCTCAACTATGATGAGGTTGCCTGTCATAAAGACAGAACAACATGAGAGATCAGGAATGTAGTACATGAGTTTAAATAGCATAGCCAACAGACTTAGATACAAGATTAGGCTCAAATGCATTAACGCTTCCATTGGATTATTTGTGATGAACAACAATTCACACAAGGAAATAGAACATACCATTGCCACTTGTTCCGTGAGATTGATCACCCATGCTAGAAATGAATATTCCCTGCAGTAAGAACAACTTCAATAACCATAGATTGTAATATGCATTACAGTTGAAGAGGTTGGTGTTGGACAAGATAAAAAGTATTAACAACCAACAATAATAAACCTGCTGTCGTGCCCTTTGGAGTTCCTGCTCTAGTTGAGTTAATTTCAGCCGACTATTCTCCAGTTGTTGTACATAAGCCTGCAAAGGAAAAGCAGACTTACTGATTATCCACCAATCTAGTTCTCAAACTACAATTACACTGTCCTCTACAAATTGAAGTCCAAAGAAATAACAGTATCTTTTGCTCATCTTTCCCCCTCCCCATGCCAAAAACAAAAAAAAAAAAAAGGAAAGGTGGAGGGGGAGGGGGAGGGAGGGAAAGAGAGACACTCTATTCTCAAATAATCCAGAGAGATAGGCAAACAAGAGGACTGAAACATCAAAATCCTCAGGAAAATAAATGGTATTCAATGTAAATGGAACTTTAAAATCTTACTTTCTTTCTCAATCGACTTTTCCTAGCAGCTTCACGATTTTGAGCAAGTCTACGCAATGTCTGGGTGAGGTCAGAAGCAAAAAGAGTTAGCAACCACCATATCAAACTGGGTAACGAGACGAACATTCCAAAAAGCAAACCTTCTGATCCATGTTCTTTTCTTTTGATTTGTCACTAGAGTCATAAGTAGCAGCACCAGTGGATTGACCCATGTCACCCTGCATATGGCACAACTAACATTTAGTTTGACTCAAATGCACATTACTTGGTGAAGAATTATATGCACAATTTATGACAGTTTTCCAGATAATTTTTTCATTTGCAAATAGTACGTGAAAGCATTCTCTCTTGGAACCCAAGTTAATAAAAGAGAAACAATATTAGACCCCCACATGTAAATATATAGACGACCACATGATATATATATATATATGTATGTATGTATGTATGTATGTATGTATGCGTGCATGCAAAATGTTTCCAGGAGTAAATGTCTGAAAAGCTTCTTAACCTACAGCGTAAGTAATAGAGCAGAAAGGTCAAGAGGCAGGAACAAACCAACCTACAAGCAAACTGTTTAAAGGTTGTTAAAGCACATTACCCGCTGATTTTTATCTTCTCCATCTGGATCTGTTGAAGTATCAGTGCGGGAACTGGAATCTGCCATGTTAGACTCCCCCCAGTTCTCATGATGAGCACCAGGTACAGAAAGTACATTTGGTTGTGACCCCTTTTGTAATTGTGTTGTTTGAGGCATCGAGATAGCAGAAGGCAAATTTGAATTGGCAGACTGAACGATCAAGTGAAGCAATATATATCATCAAAACATGTACTACGAATCAATTTCATAACCTTAGGAAAAGGCAACACTTTCAACATTAAAAACAAAAATAAACACGTCTTTAGAATGAGGTTGTAAGTACCTTGCCAGATTGGAGATCAGTACCTGCTGCTGCATTAGTTACACCTAGATTGAATGCTGGACCTACACCAACATAAAATATTCAGCTAAATATATTGAAAACCTAAACAGTTAAACACAAGAGTACAAGACCCCATGGACTGAGAAGGGAAAAAGAAAAAAAAAAAAAAGAAAGAAAACTGTTTTAAACAGAAAAGGAACAGTTTTTATAGTTCTATGATTAAATTAATCAAACATGCTATCACCATGAAGTACAGGCCCACTGAGTCAAACGCAAGATTGGAGCTCAAATTTGATCTTTCCTATCCATCAAATTTCATGGACTTAAAAGGCTGCAGTAAAATTTTCAATTAAATAAGATATTCTAATTAGTCTAAGCAATAAAAGATTATGAAATTTTGATGCATTCCAAGAAATTCTCATCAGAATATGCTTATTCATGTCAAGGCATAAGGTCATGCTTAAAATCTAACATCATCATCCACGGATTCTCATTAATATAACATGTGGAATTGCAAACCCTAACTTTCAGATGAAAACTAGTTTCTTGCACACCAGGATTCCAATATTCAGCAAAGACAAACTAAACTGGCATACCCACAAATTGCCATGCTAGCCCACTGTCTTTATCTAAGCTCCAGTACCTCTAGCTCAATATCTTTTATAACATCCAAACTAAATTAAGATTTGAAAGGGAATCAAGCAACACAGACTACTCGTGGCACCTGGAGATTCTGGGAAACTCTATTACAAACAAAGAATGCCTTATCAGGTTGAATTCAGCTGTTGTTAAACTCAATCCTATTTTCCTGGTTCCACTTCAGGTGCATTTGGATTTAAATCTTCTTTTGCATTTTTTGATTCATGAAAAATGTTTGACATTATAAACTTCTATGTGCTTTAGTAGTCTTTAATGATCTCTGCCAGCGCCATAATTCTCTACTTTGCAACTTCTTAATGGAAACCAGAAGAAGTGAACCAGGAAGCCTACTAGTGTAAATGTTAAGGAATTAGAAGAGTAAAAACATATTAGGATAGCAGTGACAGTCAAGAGTGTTATGCCAGCATGTAGTCAATCTCCTGATGAATGGGTTCAGAAAAAAAGTTGTAACTGCTTATTCTGTAAAACTTACAACAAATCAAAAGAGAAATTGATTGTGAGAAAAACATTGGAGAAAATGCTCATTGTATACATACTTCGGTTGACATTTGCACCATCCCCGATGCGGAAACCTAGATACTGTTCCAGGACTCCAAAGTCTGTAATTCGAGAAGAATGAGTAGCATTCCCTTCTGTGGCCCTGAAATCCAGAATTACAAACCTTTCAGCTCACCCTTTATGTATATTGTAATAATCCCCAGGTTGTAAGTACTACAAACAAAAATCGACATCACTATTCCTCGCATTGGGCTTAAATTATTTGGTAACATGTAATTACATAAGAAACATCAAGCATCACATTATCTTATCATAGGTATAAAATGAGCTTCAACAACACATAACCCCATCCAAGCTTTAATACTCAAAACCAATGCCAAACACAACATATTACAGTTAGATGTTTGTAATCATCATTATTCATTTTTCACGTTCCCATTTTTTTAAGATAGATGGCTTAAGATGATGTAGATAATCAATTAATTTGACATTCTTTATAAGATCTGAAACAGATGTAATATTATAATTGTTTATAGCTTCAAACAATTAAATGATAAAAACCTACAACTCTACAAATTCTGCATATAAACATTATTAAGTCCTTGTTGAACAAACTCCCAATGCAGAATAACACCTAAAATTTCAACTGATCAAGTTACAATTCCTTCCATCTATGCCCTATAATGTGACATACATAGCAAAAATTGCACGACGCCAGTAGAAGTTATCAAATGTAACACATATTTCGACAAATGCAAACGTATGAATTCAAAATGCCACAAGGAAATAGTAAAATGTCCAAATCTTCCTTTTTTCTTTCCTTTTCTCCTAAGACTTCAAAATGGCGCATGGAATTCATAAATCTTCAAATCTTCCTTTTCTTAGACTGCATAACGATTTGAGATGTTGTACCTCCATACAGCAGTCAACCTCAGATCAGTAGCACTCGGTGAACATTTAAGACATGGTATGGAGACTTAATGAACTCAAAAACTAGCTACTTGACATAACTACAACAGGACGAGTAAAAAATGAAACTAACTTATAGCCATCTGCAAAACTCAATTCGATCATGCTGCAAAAACCATTTAAGAGTTACCGTGTGAGTAACGAATTACACGAAATAATTAACGGTTAAGCAAATAAAAGTTTTTACAGAAAGAAAATGAGTTCAAAATTACATTTGATTGGAAACTGGTGTTGGAGAAATGAAGCTTGGCATCCCAGAAGCAACACTTCTATTATGCTCTGCACCAACTTTCACTGTTGTGCTACCCATACATAACCACCATGCTCCCAGTTCAAAAACACCCCTTCATATTCCACGCTTTGAACACCAAAAAGCAAACAACTTTCTAGCACAACTTGTAACTATAATTAGCACCAGAAGTCTCAACAACCGACTTATATAACCAAGAAAACCACCACCATGGCCCCTCCAGATTCACAAAACTACAAGTTTTCAACCAAAAAATGTATAATCAAACTTTGAATCGAGACAGAACAGAACAGAACATGAACTTGAGGCAGAGTTCAAATACAAATCAAACTTTGTTAAGTTAGCCTTTAAAAATACTAAAAAAGTGCAAAACCTCATAAACCCTCTTTCCTGGAAGCTTCAACAAAACCTGAACTATTGGTCAACTGAGCAAAACCCAGAAATTATTTGAGTTGAAAATCCAATATAGCTCAAAAATTGGAGGTAGATGTGATAAAGATTGGATCTTTTTGACTTGAGGGTTGTTTAATGAACGAGTCAGTGCACTAAATTTCATCTAGAATTTTCTCTCCAAGGGGCTCTGTTTTTGCACAAAATTCAACGGACCAGGATTATATTTTTCGTCTAATTCCGTTTGTTGAAAAAAAAAAAAAGGATTATATTTTTCGTGCTACAGAGTGGAAAAAGCATTAAATATTGAGGTCCCTTCCTTATAATGAGGTGGAGGGTGAGGGAGGTGATGCTCGGCCGTTCAGGTCATTCCAAAGCCAAAGCTAGTCCATGCGTCATTTTCATCTAAAGCCTTTTTCCACTTTTCAAAGCCATCATTTTATTATATATATTTTGTTTGCTTCACTTTCATAAGTTTGGCTAATTTATAGTTGGGGCCTGTGTGGAAACACCGTTTCGGATTCCTCCCTGAAGATTTTGTGTTGCAATTTGGTCCTGAACAGATATTTTGTTTGAAAAAAGTACTAGTTTGAGGACGAATCAAGTCCTAGGAAAGTTCTAGATAGGTTAGCAGTTCCTTCGGTCAGGTTGTGTGGTACCCGAAGGTAGTTCTAGATAGGTGTAGTTAGGAGGTTTGGGCTGCGAGCTCGCGGCTATTTTTGAGGAAAATAAAGGAGCATTTTTGTGGAAAAAATAAAAAATAAAAAAAGTCCTAGGAAAGTGCTTGGTCATTTTATCTTCTATTACAATATTATAAGATGGGTGAAACATGTCTGACTACGATCTTGAACCTGCATACTATGGTTTCTTTGATAACTCAATTCAATATATAAATTTACTATATACGGATCTTAATATGTTCGGCACGTAGAATATTTGAATTAATTAAGTGTCACTAAATTTTCTAGTCAAAACTTAAACTTACTTCAAAAAAAATAAGTGATAAGTGATAAGTTATTTACTTATCACTTAATATAATATAGATTCAAATGTATCAGATTTAATACTTAACAATTTAGTAACTTAACGAATTCAAATTTTAGGTTTATCAAACGCACGCTTAGTATATTTTATTTGAGTGTGTTTCTTTTTATTTTTGCATGAGATTTTCTTAGCCTGCGTGACATTTCCATGATGTGGATCAATATGCGTAAATCAAGTTAAAATGGTGAAATTTATTATGTATATTCGTTGATGCAAAGTATGAAATTGAGAAAAGGATTTGACAAGTAGGTACAGAACGAAAATAAATTTCTCAACAAAATGCCCAAAGGGAAAAAGAAGTGAAAGGTACAATTGATATTAGCGTCCAAAGCAATGAAAAAGAAGTGAAATGAAGTCAATGAAATCTCATGTGGTTTGCATTAATTCACTGCAACTCTTCTGGTTTGTGAATATAGGACCAGCAAATCTATAAGTTATGATAGCAATTTATACTTGCCATTTAATAAGCAGGATCCATTATGAGGGTAATCATGCAGAAAGATGATAGCAACTGTTTTGGTAATGATTCAAAATTGCTCCTTTCTGATTTTGTTAAATTAAGAAGAAGACAGAGCATCCGGAAATTAGGTCAAGATAATTTTACAATTTATAATCCAGTGGTTGTGATTATATTGGTTCAGTAAAAAGGCAATCCAAACTAGTTCATACTTTCTTGAAGATTTTTTAATAATTCAACCTTGAACAGTATGATTCTCAAAAACCCTTTTTTTTTTTCTTTTTGATAGTTCATCTTTTGATGTTTGATCTTTCTTAAATTGTCATAGACTTAAGCAGATTTCACTAGTGAGGCTCAAACCACTAAATTTTGCTTTTGCAATTTAAATTTGAGATTTTAAAGTAATGAGGGGAAAATGAGGAGAATCTTAAAACAAGAAATTATGATCACCAGAAGGTAGCATATATCATTAGAAGTGCTCAAATAAGTTTTCCTTTTAAAAAAAAAAATACTAGATATAAGTATGACAAAGAAAGACTGACAACATGGTTATGTCTAGAATATTTTTTCTTTGCAATGATTTGTTGAAGTTATATTTTAACTTTTATTATTATATGCAACAATTTATTGTTCTTTATGAGTCAAATAAAATAGAGTGATGAAGATTATGTGAAACTAATTAAAACCCATTAAGAAATGAAGAAAAAATGACTTTAAATGTTAGCCATTTGTTCTAATTATTTTGTTGTTATTAGTTCGTTGCTTATTATTAACTGATGTTTCTATCTATCTAATATTTCCGTCCACCATTAAACAGCTAGCTTGGTAATGAGAAAATTCTATGCAATTGTATTTCAATTATCTTCAAATTAATTTATATAGTTTTGCTCTATTGTTCAATTATCATGTGTCGTGGGAATATGATGATTAGGGGTGTGTAAAATCAAAAAATTTCGATTTATCGACCGAATTCGAATTGAATTCGGAATTTTAGAATCCAAAAATCTCTACGTTTTAGAGTTTCAATTTTAACTACTAGACCAAAACCTCCTCTACATTTTGTGGCTTCTTAACATCAATAGACGAAATTATAAAGACATAATAACAAATTATTGTTCATGACAACTAAAATTATTATGACAAGTTTGTCATACTAATTAATATTGGTCCTAATTTGATAAACACAAAGATCTCTCCAGATTGCAACATCAATTTATTTGAAAGAATCACAACAAAAAAGATAAGGTAGTAGTACATAGAATCTTGCAGAATGGAGGACCACTTTGCACGAAAAATGGGAGCACTATGAAATTAAAAGAAATTATGGGCAATCTTCTTAAATTACAAACAATTCACCAATTACATATCCGACATTCCCCTTTTCCTGCGCCGCCCGCCAAGAGAGGATTCGAGTCATTTGACACAAAGGTCTCCGTAATTGGGTCCCTGCTACAGGGGCAAATCCTAAAATTATAAGGATTAATCTTGACAGCGTTTACACTATTAGTGTAGCGTTCGATGAATAATAATAATTATATAAAATTTAATTTTTATATATATGTCATGAATCTAATGATAATAGTATATATATTGTCAGTGTATATAAAATTTACTCAAATTATAATACCATTTATTCATCCAACAAATACACATTTCGTATGATAACACCACAAAGTTTAGGTACTTCTAGTGGAACAAATATTTTTATCTTTTTTTTTTTAACGGCAACGAAAACATTTGTTTAATCTAATCTATTCTATTTTAGAAGGAGGGGAAATCTAAAGAGACTGAGGCAAGGGCTAACATTAGACCAAAGAAGTGCTCTGACACTATCTTTGGATTTTTTTTAGCTGCAGGTAAAATTTAAACTCTTAATCTACAGCTCAAAGAGGGACTTAAGTCCCTTTTTGGTAGCCCCGAGTTTGACCCAAAGCCCAGTGGTTTGGAACAAATATTTTTATTTGAATTAGTAGTTGGGACCATCCTTATAATTAATCAACCAGAGTGGAATATTTACTTTTGCATGAACAGGGGACGACTGATGAATTGTTGTGCTTTCTGTCTATCATTATAATGATTTGGATGTCTTTGAATACCTTATAGATTTTACATTTTTCTAAAGCATCCATTTAAAATACTCCGTTAATAATTATATCATCTACTCCACATATTTAGCATTAAGATTCTAGTAGTATGACGAAATATTTATAAAACCTTCCATCGTTATTTCTATTGTATTAGATTTTAAATAATCGAAAAAAGTGTCTAAAAATCAGAGGTAAAAGTACCTATAATAGATGGATAAGGAGGTAGGATAACAATAATAGATTTGAGAAAATTAGTGGCTAAAAGTTTGTAAGTTTCAAAGTTAGACATGTATCATATTCCTTAACATTAATGTGAGGTATAAATTCTTTTTTTTTTTCTTTTTCCAATTAGAAGAAAATTCTAAATCATAGCATAACTTTCACAGTTTATAGTGTCTATTACATTCTTATTTTTCTTAACATTAATGTTCATTATCGAAATTTTTTTTTTTTTTTTTACCTTTTCAATTTAAAGAAGACTCTAAATCTTCGTGAGGAGGACTAGAAAAATAAATATAAAAATTTGAGAGCTAAATCAAGAACCTTATGGTTACCTAATTTATATGCCTACTAGAGAAGTTAGGTTTTGGAAACTATTATGTATATATTCATATAAAGTGGACAACTGCATTGAAAAAAAAAATAGAGAAACAAAGAAAGTGGAAACACTTTATTCTAGCCCACAAAACTTTGTAGCCACATGAGGATGTGGTTTATACCATCCAACTTTCTCTTTTATGCCTATTTATTGGGATTGTACTTTTAGACTTGGCATTTTGCTTTCTTTGGAACGGGGCGGTTAAAAAGTGAGAAAAAGCCATTTTAAAGGCCAAAATGGCGTTTGAAGATGACAAGTCGGTTATTTTCAGGATAGCACTTCCTTATGGATCACTAAAGCAACAAATGACATATGGTAACTCTTTGGCCATAATGTAAAAATTAAAAAAAAAACACTGGGTTTGTTTGGATAGTGAAATTATCCAAAATAATATTTTGTTTGTATCATAAATATATTTTCCAACCCATCTCGGATTTTAGACCTCTAATTTTTAAGGTCTCAAAGTTGTTTTTGTATCTTATTTCTTGCCGTAACCATTTGATATAGGAATAATAATGCTTTTTGTACAATAGATCATTGAATTTGTTAAAAAGAAAAGTGTATGAAGATGTAAAATTATATCCACTTTGTAATAATAGTATCTCTAAATTGTAATCTTGTTGTATGTGTTGAAATTCATCCCATCAAGTGAGGGTTAGATTGTAGGAGTAGGAGTAATGTTTCTCAAAGGTTGAGCTGTATGGATTTATGCGGTTAATTGTAATCTTATAACCAAAAAAAAAAAAAAAACCAAAAAAAGAAATTCTATCATCCAAACTTAGGCCATAATCATCCAACTATGAAACTAATGCTCATACTATGGTAAGAAACTAAGAATATCTCGAATCCATGAAAAGGAAAGTTGCCAAATAATTAATTTCATATAGGAAATTGTAAGAAAAGAAGAGCTACGATATAACTATTTTATATATGTACTAACAGTGTAGTGATTTTTTTTTTTTATACTAATAGTTATGAATGTATGTCACATATACATGAATTGAATTTTAAATTTGAATTCATATTATATGGTATGATATAAATCTGTTAGTGTAAAAAAAAATTATACA